CATTTTTTATTAAATAAGGGGAGGTTAAAATATTTTGATTAATGATGGAGTTTGTATTAAAAAATGAGATTTTGCCCAAAGAATGAAAAATAAATAAGGATAAAACCATGAAAGCGTAAAACAAAGTCATGAAAGGTCTAGGTAAGGTACACAAACTTCGTGAAAAACTTTGCTTATGGAGGACTTAGGGATGATATGTTTGTTGTTATGATGTATAAAATCACAAGGTTAGAATTATTGTGGGGCTTTCATGAATCCTCCCATACAGTTTAAAGCTGTTTTGCTGGGGCACTTTCTCAGCTAGCTATGTAAACTTATCCTGGCATCTCTGCTGCACTGTCTCTTCATGTGGCTCTCCATGCCTCCTCTTACTCCCTCCATCTCCCTTCTGCTTTCTTCTACCTCTTCGAGTCTCCTAGGTCTTTGCTGGGCTCTACCTGCCCGGAAGTCCTGCCTCCATACTTCCTGCGTCAGCTCTGGGCCATCACTTTTTTTATTTCACAAAATGCAACACTTCAGTTTGAACCAATCAGCATCAAGACAATGCTTGATTTAGCTCTCCTGGGTTGCTCTTTGACAGGTGAGGAAGGACAAGCATTTAAGAACAGAAAATCAGTGATAGGTCATAGAATCAGCAATACCAAAATCCTTCTAGCACTGTGCCCTCTGCACAATTATCAGCTGAAAATACTGGGACACACCTTCTCAATGTGAAGGAAGGTCACGTCGACATAGGATGATCTACTCATGGTAACAAAAACTGACTTTGTAGTGAGAATTTTGGTGTCTTTAAAAACCCAGTTATGTTATATAAACATGTTTTTGTTTTAATCCCTGTTGTGGGATATTGGGGCTGCTTCAGATTGTCCAGAGCAGCAGACTATTTGCCTTGTGTGTGCTCTGGCAGGGGTGTGACTTGGCCAGCTGAAGATAGTTTAATTCTGGGGACTCTAGAGAGAGTATAAAAAGACCAGCGCCCCAAGAGAAGAGATGTGGCTGTGCCCCCTGATGATTCCTGTAGCTGTTGTTGCTGATTTGTCAAGTGGTCAAGAGAAAAGAGACAAGAAGAACAAGTTGGAGATATCCTGACTAGACAAAGATTGGACTTGTCCCCAAAGAACTCAATGCCCCTAATTAGCAGAAAGCAGTCTAAAAAGATCTCAATGGCCCCTCTCCCCACTAATCTTCTGTTTCTCCTGCTGGTTCTGGAGTGTTGGAAGGGTTGGGGTGGAGAAGGTAAGAGGTATAAGAACTCAAATATGTGGAGAAACAGGAACCCTCCTCCATTGCTGGTGGGAATGCAAACTTGTACAACCACTTTGGAAATCAATCTGGTGCTTTCTCAAAAAATTAGGAATAGAGCTTCCTCAAGATCCAGCTATACCACTCCTAGGCATATATCTAAAAGATGCTCAAGTACACAACAAGAACATTTGCTCAGCCGTGTTTGTAGCAGCTTTATTCCTAATAGCCAGAATCTGGAAACAACCCAGATGTCCCTCAACTGAGGAATGGATACAGAAATTGTGGTAGATTTACATGATGGAATACTACTCAGCAATTAAAAACAAGGAAATCATGAAACTTGCAGGCAAATGGTGGAAACTAGAAAAGATCATCCTGAGTGAGGTATCCCAGAAGCAGAAAGACACACATGCTATATACTCACTTATAAGTAGATATTAGACTTATAATATAGAATAAGCATACTAAAATATGTACACCTAAAGAAGCTAAGGAAGAAGGAGGGCCCTGGGTAAGATAATCAATCCTCATTCAGAAAGGCAAATGGGATGGACATCAGAAGAGGGAGAAAACAGGGAACAGGACAGGAGCCTACCACAGAGGGCCTCTGAAAGACTCTACCTAGCAGGGTATCGAAGCAGATGCTAAGACTCATAGTCAAACTCTGGGCAGAGTTTAGGGAATGTTATGAAAGAAGGGGAGATAGAAAGACCAGGAAGGGATAGGAGCTCCACGAGAAGAGCAACAGAACCAAAAAATAGGCCCAGGGGTCTTTTCTGAGACTGATACTCCAACCAAGGACCACACATGGAGATAACTTAGAACCTCTGCATAGATGTAGCCCATGGCAGCTCAGTCTCCAAGTGGGATTCCTAGTAAGGGGAACAGGGACTGTCTCTGACCTGAACTCAGCGGCTGGCTCTTTGATCACCTCCCCCCCACACAGAGGAGAACAGCCTTACCAGGCCACAAAGGAAGACAATGCAGCCAGTCCTGATGAGACCTGGTAGGCTAGGGCCAGACAGAAGGGGAGGAGGACAGCCTCTATCAGTGGACTGGGGGAGGGGTATGGCAGGAAAAAAGGGAAGAAGGGTGGGGTTGGGAGGGGATGAGGGATGGGGCTACAGCTGGGATACAAAGTGAATAAATTGCAATAAATAAAAAATTAATAAAAAGAACCCAAATAAAATCTGCCAATATCACTTAAAGATGTATGTCTAATAAAAATGTGTATCTAATCACTTACAACATTGATCACTTGGTTAAACTTTAACCTTTTGGAGAATAGGAATTAAAAACAAGGAAGTCATGAAATTTGCAGGCAAATAGATGGAACTAGGAAATATCATCCTGAGTGAGGTAACCCAGAAGCACAAACACACACACGGAATATACTCACTTATAAGTGGATATTAGCCATATAATATAGAATATTATAAATATACTAAATATACTAAAATCTATAGTCCTAAGGAAGTTAAACAACAAGGAGGACCCTAGGGAAGATGCTTAATCCTCATTCAGAAGGGCAAACAGGATAGACATTGGAAGTGGGAGGAGACAGGGAACAGGACAGGAGCCTTCCACAGACGGCCTCTGATAGACTTTACTGATCAGGGTATTGAAGCAGATGCTGAGACTCATAGCCAGACTTTGGGCAGAGTGCAAGGAATCTTATGGAAGAAGGGAGAGATAGAAAGACCTGGAGGGGACAGGAGCTCCACAAGGAGACCAGAGACTGATAGTCATGGGACGATTTTTAAAAAGCTATAAAACTTGTTGCAGAGACACCACATACACAGCTGAACTGGAAATCTTAAGACACAAAGTCTCATTCTGTGTCCAGCTCTTCTGGGAGACACAGAATGACATGTGGGTTTATTTCTGGGTCTTCAATTCAATTCCACTGATCTGTTTGCCTGATCTTATGCCAATACCATGCTTTTATTTTACCATGTTTTTATTGCTTTGTAGTACCTCTTCAAATCAGGGATGCTGATCCCTCCAGTAGTTCTTTTTTTGTACAGGATTGTTTTTGCTATCCTGGGTTTTTTATTTTTCCGTATGAAGTTGAGAATCTCTCTTTCCAGATCTGTAAAGAACTGTGTCGGAATTTTTATGGGAATTGCATTGAATCTGCAGATAGCTTTTGGTAAGATGACCATGATCTACTCCCTTTGACCAAGCTGCACATTGAGTACATATGTGTAGGGGGTCTAGGCTCTTTGGTTGGTGGTTCAGTCTTTGTGAGCCCAGGTTAGTTGATTCTGTAGTTCTTCTTGTGGTGTCCTTAGCCCTGCCTGATCCCTCTATCCTTCCTCCCACTCTCCTACAGAACTTCCTATGCTTAACCTATTGTTTGGCTGTGGGTCTCTGCATCTGTTTCCATCAGCTGCTGGATGAAGCCTCTCAGAAGACAGTTATGCTAGGCTCCTGTCTTCAAGCACAGCACAGTATCATTAATAGTGTCAGGGACTGGCTCTCTCCCACGGGCTGGGTCTCACGTTGGACCAGTCACTGGTTTGCCATTCCCTCGATCTCTGCTTCATTTTTACCACTACACTTCTTGTAGGCAAGACAAGCCTTGGGTCGAAGGTTGGTGTCCTCCTCCCTCCACTGGAAGTCCCACCTGGCTATAGGAGGTGGCAACTTCAGGCTCCAAAACCCTTGCTGCTAGGAGTCTCAGTAGGGTCACCTCCATAGACTCCCAGGAGCCTCCCCTGTCCCAGAGATGCCTGCGCCCACTGATTTCTGTTCTCTCTTCTGGCTCTCTCCTCCCACCACCTCTTCCACCCCCTCCCCGCTCTCTGCACACCTGATTCCCAACTCCATTACCCTTCACACCCCCTTTCACCCCTAGCAAAGAAAATAGGGGCTATCTTCAACGTGTTGTCTGCTAATGGATCCCTTTCCCCTGGGTGGGCTGCCTTAGACCTTAATGGGAGAGGATGCTCTTAGTCCTGCTGAGACCTGAGGTGCCAGAGCGGGTTGATAATTCTTGGGGGCCTCCCCTTCTCTGAGAAGAAGGAGAAAGGGAAATGCAGGGAGGGGAGGCATGAGGGTAGGACTGGGAGGAGAGGAGGAAGGGGCTGGGATCAGGCTGTAAAGAGATTAAATAAATTAATAAATGAAAAAAAAAGTGTAAGTAGACCCATGGCAGATTTCCACTGCATTAAATAGTGAAAACCTATGACAATTTACCTTTCCTTCTGAAAACATTTGGTGAAAGACTGATAGGGAACTTCATAATGGATGGATCAGAGTCGTAACTCCTGAACTTATGAAAAGAGGTTACAAAGAAAAATTGCCTCTCTTAAAGTTTGTTTGGTTTCATAGTTAGCACACAAAGCAATGGGTTTCATTATGGCATTTACAAACATATTTTTTTGTTGATCTTCCTCTTCTACTCCTTTCCCCCACAGTCTCCTGCCTGCTCATTCCCTCCACCCGCCAGGGGGTTTTAACTTTCATAGCACATGTATTCTATTGCTCATTCCCACCCCCCGTGTTTTTAATATTTTCCCTTCTTTAAGACCTCTTTTGCCTCTCTTATGGTTGTCTACCTAGTTTCATGACCTATTATAACTCCCGTGTGTACATGTACATTAAAACCTATGGCATGCGCATCATAGAGATTTGTGGTGATTGCTTTCCTAAGTGTAGGTTATTTAATACAGTAATTTTAAAACCCATAAATGTTCCTGAAAATTTTATGACTTTGTTTTTCCTTGTGGCTGAATAAGACTCTATTGTGTATACTTAGCTGGCAGGGAGACCCCATGATTACGAAGAAGGTCTTCCCTAGGGAGGCTCATCCATTGCAATCCAATGTGATGACCCCCATGACTTCCTCAAACGGGAAACTTGAATGCATAATTTGTGGTTGTGGAGAACTGAGTTCTTGCTCTCCCCAGAAAAAAAAAAATTAAGAGAAGGTCTATTGTGTATATGTATATTTATTTTTTATAAAACATGTTTTATTTTTATTTTCATTTTTTTTTTTTTTGTTCATCTGTTAAGGAACATCTGAGCTGGTTTCACCTCTTTTATATTGTGAACAGTACAATAATAAACATGGATATGGTAGTATTTCTGTGTTCGAATATAGAATGTCATTTGGGTAATTCTCCCTCTTTTTTACTTTATAATCCAATTTTTAAACTTTTTTCAGTGACTCATTTATTATTCTACTTTCACCAAGGATATAAACATGAAAAAATTTCCATCTATTTTTCTTTTATTGAAAATAGTTTTTTAACCTTTACACTAGTGTCTAGGTTTATATTTGTTCATTTATTCATTTTTAAAATATAACAAAATAAAATATAATATGGTAAAAAAAAAAAACCCTATCACATGGAAGTTGGACAAAACAAATCAGCAGAAGGAAAAGAGCCCAAGAGAAAGCACAGGAATCAAAGACCTGCTCATTTGCATCCTCAGGAACCCCATTAAAACCACGAAACTGGAAGACAAGGACCTGGTGTTCACCTTTGTAGGTCCTATGCATGCTGCTCAGTCTCTGTGAGTTCATATAAGTTTGATCATGATGATATAGAGGGTCTTGTTTTCCTGGTGTCCATCCCCTCTGGCTCTTACATTCTTTTCACCTCCTGTTCTAACAGGTTTCCTGAACTCAGGATTTGATGGTGACAACCCATTTAGGGTTGAAGGTTCTAAGGTCTCTCCCTATTTGCATAACATCTGGCTTGTGGGTCTCTACGTTCCCATTTGCTGTAGGAGCACCCTTCTCTGATGATAGTTGAACAAGACACTGATCTATGAGTGTAGCTGAGTATCATTGAGAGTCTGGTAAAATTCTGCACTAAAACCATCTCCCGTGGTTTTTTTTTGTTTTTTTTTTTTTTTGTTTTTTTTTTTTGGGTTGGGAGACTTTTAATGACTACTTCTATTTCACTAGGATTTACAGGTCTGTTTAAATTGCTTTTCTGCTCTTGATTTAACTTTGGTAAGTAGTATACATCGAGAAAATTATCCATTTCTTTTAGAGTTTTCAATTTTGTGAGGTACACATTTTGAAGTGTGTTCTTATGATTCTCTGGATTTTCTCAGTGTCTGTGATTATGCCCCCTTTTCATTTCTTCAAATTTCCTTTAATTTGGATATTCTTTCTCCACCTTTCAATTAATTTGGATAAGAGTTTGTCAATCTTATTGATTTTCTCAAAGAACCAACTCTTCTTTGTTTTTTTTTTTGTTGTTGTTGTTTTGAGACAGGATTTCTCTGTGTAGCCCTAGATGTCCTGGAACTCTCTCTATAGACCAGGTTGCCCTTGAATTCATGGAGATCCATCTGCCTCTGCCTCCCGAGTACTGGGATTAAAGTAATGTACTTCCACCTCCCGGCTCCTACTTTTTTTAAAAACTGTATTCATTGATTCTTTGTATTGTTCTTTCTATTTAATTGATTTCAGTCCTGGGTTGATTATTTCTTGCCATCTACCCCTTTGGTTGTGAATTCTTCTTTGTGCTCTAGAGCTTTCAGGTGTGTATTAAGTTGCTAATATGAGTTGCTAATATGTTCATTTTTTTAAATGTAGGTACTTAGTGTGCTATGAACCTATCTCTTAGAGTGGCATGAATTGTGTCTCATATGTTTGGGTATACTGAGTATTCATTTTCATTCAATTCTATAAAGTCTTTGATTTCTTTCTTAATTTATGTGTTTCCCATTTTTCATTCAGTAGCGAGTTGTTCAGTTCCCATGAGTTTGTAAGATTTCTGTGGTTGATACCACGGTTTCTGGACAGGACGCAGGTCTTATTTCTGTTTTCTAATATTTGTTGAGACTTGCTTTATATTGAGTATGTGGTCAGTTTTAGAGAAGGTTCCATGAGGTGAAGAGAAGAATGTGTATTATTTTATGTTTGGGTGAAACGTTCTGTAAATACCTATCAGGCCCATTTGGTTTGTAACTTGTTAGCTCCTGCATTTCTCTGTTTAGTTGTTGTCTGGATGAGCTGTCTATTGGCCAGAGAAGTATTGAAGCCTCTCACTATCAGTGTGTGGGTGAGTGTCAATACATGATTTAAGCTGCAGTAGTGTGTCTTTTACAAACTTCAGTGCCCTTGTATTTGGGGAATAGATGTTAAGAATTGAAATATCCTCTTGATGGGTTTCCCCTAGCTCTTCTGATTAGTTTTATTTTGAAGCCTATTTTGTCAGAAATTAAAATGGCTACACTAGCTTCTTAGGTCCATTTACTTGGAATATCTTTTTCCAACCCTTTGCCCTGAGATGATATCTTTCCTTGATGTTAAAGTGTCTTTCTTGGGAACAGCAGAAGGATGGATCCTGTTTTCATACCAATTCCATTAGTCTGTGTCTTTTTCTTGGGAATTGATATCAATGACAGTGACTGTTGGTTCCTGTTCTGTTGTTGTTATTAGTGGTGGTGGTGGTGGTGGTGTGTGTGTTTTCCTTCTTTTGACTTTACTGGTCCGAGATTATTTATTCCCTGTGCTTTCTTGTATGTAGTTAACCTTTTTAAGCTGGAGTTTTCTTTCTAGCACCTTCTGTAGTACAGGATTTATAGATAAATATTGTTTAAATTTTACTTTATCATCGAAAATCTTATTTTCTCCATATATGATGATTGAAAGTTTTGCTGGGTATAGTAGTCTGAGCTGGCAACTGTAGTCTCTTAGAGTCTCCATCATATCTGTCCAGGTCTTTCTGGCTTTTAGAGTCTCCATTGAGAAGTCAGGTGTAGTTCTAATAGATCTGCCTTTTTATGTTACTTGGTCTTTTTTTTTTTTTCTTGCAGCTTTTAATATTCTTTTGTTCTATATGTTTAGTATTTTGATTATTATTATAAGGGGACTTTCTTTTCCGGTACAGTCTATTTGGTGCTCTGTTGTTTCTTTTCCCTTGATAGGCATCTCCATCTTCAGGTTAATTCTCCTATGATTTTGTTGAAAATATTTTCTGTGCCTTTGTGCTTTATTCCTATTTATTCTTTCATTTATTCTTATTATTCTTAGATTTGGCCTTTTCATAATGTCTCAGATTTCCTGGATATTTTGTGCCTGATGTTTTGTAGATTAACCATTAAAAAAAAAACAAACAAACTTCTATTGTGTCTTCAATGCCTGAGATTCTCTCTTATATCTCTTGTATTCTGTTGGTGAAGCTTGCCTCTATGGTTCCTGTCTGAGTTCCTAAATTTTTCTTTTTCTTTTTTTCTTCTTTTTTTGAGATAGGGTTTCTATGTGTAGCTCTGGCTGTTCTTGAACTTGCTCTGTAGACCAGGCTGGCATGCAACTCACAGATATCCTTCTGTTTCTGCCTCCCAAGTGCTGGAACTAAAGATGTATGTCACCACCACCTGGCTTCTAAACTTTTCATTTTCAGATTTCCCTCAGTTTCTTATTGATTCTACTTCCACTTTCAGGCCTTGAACTGTTTTTATCAATTTCCTTCCACTGTTTGTTTTTTATAGCTTTCTTTAAGGACCTCTATCATATTCAAATTAAGGCTGCCTTTTATTTGTGTTTCAAATATGTTGGAATATTCAGAGCCTGATGTTATAGGTTACCGGGCTCAGACATATTCCAGACATACTGTCCTGGATGTTATTTATTCTGTTTTTGACTGGCTTCGAGACACCTGGGATTGGAAAGATAGTAAATCTAGGTGCTGATATCTGGGCTTATCTTTATTAAGTGGGTATTTTGTCTCTTGGTTTCCTCTGTAGTTCTAAGAAAAGTGTGGTGGCTGTGTGTTGCTTCTGGGGTCTTGATGGGGATAGCCACAAGAGGTTCCAGGTATAATGTATCCCTGGATAGTGAGACCTAAGACTTAGAAATGGGGGTGGGCTGGGGGCAGTGAAAGGGCTTTGTGAGAGGGAGGAGAGCAGGATGTTCCACTAGGATCTGCTTAGCCAGTCCCCTGAGAAAGAGGGCAGAGGTGAGGAGAAGGTACAGCAGAAGGTCTGGTAGAGACCTAGAGATTTGACTTGGAAGAATAGAGAGAGAAGTGAGGACCTCTATTTAGTATACCCACTTCCTTGGCAGGAATGGCCCATGGGTTCCTAGGGAGTGTCTGCTACTTCCCTGTCCAGAGTGATCTGGGTATATTCTCACGAGTAGTGGACCTATGGTAGTTCTAGTCTCAGGTTTTTGAGAGATTACCATAATGATTTCCACATTGGCTGCACCAATTTACACTCCCACTAGCAGTGGATAAGTGCACTTACCCTTCATCCTCAGCGGCATTCGCTATTGGTGGTTGTCTTTCTCTTTAAAAAAAAAATACATACATATATATATATATATATATATGTATGTATATATTTGTGTACAAAAATGAGAAACTGAGTTCTGATTTCAAGAAAAATCCCAAGGATCGGTCAAACCCTGTGACCCAAGTACCTGGCATACACTGGGCATTAGAGTTATAAACCTAGCTGCTGGGAATTCTGACACACCCTGTTGAGAGTTGCAGCAGGTGCCACTGTAGGGCTCAGGGCGTTCTTGGCCAATGTTTGTAGAAGAGTTGCAAGAGCAGAAGGAAGCACCTGCTACTCCTGGCTGCTGTCTGCTGCTACCACTCCCTCCTGCTGAAGATAGGGATCATAAAAGCTGCAAGTGCTGGGGACCACCAGGGCCTCAAAGCCCAGGGTAATCAGCCTCCTACCCAACTGCCTCCAGCTGCAAGTGTCTGGCTTCAAAAGCGTGGAGAAATGGGCGTCTGGCTCTCACAACTTGTAACTGTTAAGCTTTGGGTCTGACTATACATCTCCTTGGATATGACACTCAAGGGACTGTGGATGACAGCACTGGATGAGCTTCTCTTTACCTACCCACAGTTTTTACTTGGTTAGAGCAAAATCGTTCAAACTAGTCCAGAGATTCTTAAAAACTATCCAATGTGTACATAAGAACAGATCGAAGTGAACTTGAAAGGGGCCATGTCCACTAGTTGTGAGTGTCCACTAACTTCTTTCATTTTTAAATTCTTATCATTTATTTATTTATTTGTTTGTTTGTTTACTTTTGAGGCAGGATCTCTCTAGTATGTGGCTCTGGCTGTCCTGGAACTTGCTATGTGGACCAGGATGACCTTGACTTTATAGAAATCCACCTGCCTCTGTCTCCTCAAGTGCTGTTAACATTTAAAAATGTTTTTGTATGGATGGATGTTTTGCTCCCATATATGTCTGGGTGTCTTGAACATGCTTGGTGCAGGTAGAGGCCGGAAAAGGACACCCGATTCCCTGGAACTAGAATGACTGATGGTTATGAAAAACCATGTGGGTGCTGGGACTCAAAGCCAGGTCTTCTACCAGACCAGCCAATGCTCTTAATTGCTGCACCATCCCTATAGCTCTATTACCTTCTTAAATCATCCATCTTAAAGGCGGAACTGAATGACTCCTTTCCAGTGTGTGTGTGTGTCAGTATGTGAGTGTATGTATGTGTGTGTGTATGTGAGTATGTGTGTGTACATTTGACTCATTTTTTATTGTTTATTATTATTAGTTACATTTTATTAACTCTGTATCCCAGCTGTATCCCGCTCCCTTATTCCCTCCCAATCCCACCCTCCCTCTCTCAGCTTCTCCCTGCCCCTTTCCAAGTCCACTGCTTGGGGAGGACCTCCTCCCCTTTCCTCTGGCCCTGTTTTATCAAGTATCTTCAGGGCTGGCTGCAAAGTCCTCCTCTGTGGCCTAGCAGGACTGCTCCTCCATTGGGGGGTGGGGAGGTCAAAGAGCCTGCCATTGAGTTCCTGTCAGAGATAGTCCCTGTTCCCCTTACTATGGGAAACCAATTGGTTACTGAGCTACCACAAGCTTCATCCAAGTAAAGGTTCTAGGTTATATCCATACATGGTCCTTGGTTGGAGAAACAGTTTCATAAAAAAACCCTGTGCCCAGATATATTTGATCCTTGTGGGGCTCCTATCCTTTCCCCGTCATACTAACTCCCCTTCTGCCGAAGGTTTGGTTATGAGTCTTAGTATCTGTTTTGAAATGCTGCTTGGTAGGGTCTTTCAGATGCCTTCTGTGGTAGACTCCTGTCATACGTGTTTGACTCATTTTACTAAATATTATGATGGCTAATTTCCATTTTGTCAGCTGGCTGGACTTGGAATCCTTTGGGGTGTGTCTGTGAGGGCATATCTGGAGAGATTTAATTGAAGAGGGAAGACCTACCCTGATGGCAGATAACAGCATCCCTTGGGCTAGGGTTCAAATCGAATATGAGCTTAGAAAGAGAAAGCAAGTTGAGCGCTGTGTTCACCTCTCTGCTTCCTAGCCATGGGTGGGATGTGGCCAGCGTCCTCACACTTTTATTCATACCAAACTGTGAGCCACAAGAATCCCTTTCTTCATCCAGTTGCTTTTGTCACAATGAAAAGCAACCACTATAAATATTGTACATTAAAGGTGGCCTCCATCACCAAAGCGGACTAGAGCATAAAGAACTTTTACAGTTTTTGTCTGCTCCCTGCTGGATTTACTCTAGGAGAAGGATACACCAGCAACTCTAAAGAGAATTCCACGTGGTGACTGACTGATGTCACATGTCCACAGCTTGTCAGTGACACGTGTGGGGAAGTCAGGGCTTCAGAGGGCTGTAGTTCAGACTGACATCTTGACTTCAGCACTGACACACCAGGGCCAAACGGCTTAGCTGGACCACCCTGGGAAAGTTTGACCTATAGAAACGGTCAGATGATAAATGCTGTTACCATTTTAATTAGCTAAAATGAGCTCATTTGTCAAAAGACCCTAATTAATTAATTAATTAAGCTCATTTCATAAGCAGGGTGTGACTTTATTCTTTCTTTCTTCTTCTCCTTCTCCTCCTCCTCCTCCTCCTTCTTTTTTTTCAGAGCAATGACAGACCAGGAGGCCTCATATAAGAAATTCTCATTCTGGGACTTTATGTTTTTGCAGTGCTAGGGATTGCATTCAGGGCCTGGCATGTTCTACCACAGAACTACACCCGCTTCATTAAAAAAAAAAAAAAGACATTTTTGCTTTTTTAAAGTTGTGTGTTTATGTGTGTGTGTGTGTGTATGTGAATGTGTGCACATAAAGGGAAAATGTCTGTGAAGTCCTGACGAGGGCATCAGATCCTTTGGAGCTGGAGTGAGCTGCTGGGCACGGATTCAGGGAGCCAAACTTGGGTCCTCTACAAGGCAGGACATTCTTTAAACCTCTAAATCGCCTCTCCAGCCCCTCCCCCTCTCCTCTCTTGAGACAGGATCTTACTACTCAATCTAGGCTGGTCTTGAAATTGCAATCGGTCCTCTTATATAGTTTCTTAGGATCTGAGATTATCTGGCAAATTGTACCGTCTCTTTTTCCTTTCCCTTGGAATATGCTCACACTTGGCAGGTCTGGCTGAAGCTTGCTATGTCGAGAGGGGGCCTCTAGACCCTCTTGCCTCCAGAGAGCTGGAACTAAAGGCACGTGCCACTCCACCCACCAAGAGAGGAATTCTTAAGGAATAAAAAGCAGAAATCGTAAACAAAAGACAAATTTACCTTCATTTTTAAAACGGTTACTTACGCTCCCTCCTTCCTCTCTGGCACCACCGTGCCATCCAGACTGACGAAGACCCGGAAACTCCGGAGCGGTGCGAGCCACGTGAGCCACAGTCACAGCTGCATCAGTAAGCACCCAGGAGGACGCGGGAATGGAGGCATGCATCACCACAGGACCAACTTCGACAAATACCCTGGTTACTCTGGGAAAGTTGGTGTGAGGCATTGCCACTTAAAGAGGAACCGGAGCTTTGCCGAACTGTTAACCTGGTGGACACTGGTCAGTGAGCAAACATGGGCCAATGCTGCACAAGATAATACTGGGGCTGCTCCCACCGTTGATGTGCGACCAAGCTACCACAAAGCTCTGGGGAAGGGCAAGCTCCCTAAGCAGCTTGTCTTCGTGAAGGCCAAATTCTTCAGCAGAAGGGCTGAAGAGAAGATTAAGGGTGTTGGAGGTGCCTGTGTCCTGCTGGCTTGAACCCACCCAGGGAGGTTAATTAAATGCTAACATTGTCCCCCCAGAATGGCTATTTATTACATGATGGACCTCAATTTGAGAAACTATATTGTCCCCACATATAATGAAGAAAAACAGTATCTGAATGTGTAAGTAGCTACTACAAATCAGCAAGAAAACAATAACCAATAGAAGATGAGTCAGTGGTACCAATGTACAATACACAGAAGAGAGAGAGCTGAACAGCCAGTAAGCCAATAAAAGGTTGATTAACCCAACACAGGGCACAACGCCACACTCCCATAGTTCCAGCCGCTGTGTATCTGAGTCAGGAAGGACAACTGAGTCTACGGTTTCCGGGCCAGACTGGACAACATTACACGAGTCAATTTGTCTGTTTATGTTTATGGGTGTCTGACCTACATGTATGTCTATGTATCATTTGTGTGACTTGGGCCCACTGTGGCCTGAAAAGGGCATTAAGCCCCTGTAACTCTAGTTACAGATGGTTGTGAGCCCCATCTGGGTGCTGAGAACCAAATCTGGGTCCTCTACAAGAGCAGTTAGTGCTCCTAACCACTGAGTCAGCACTCCAGCCTTACTATTACTATTATTATTACTATTACTATGATTATTATTATTATTTTGGACAGGGTCTTATGTAGCTCAGGCTAGCTTCCAACCTATGCTGTTGGGGACGATTACCTTGAACTTCTGATCCTCCTGGGTCTACCTCTGGAAGAGGCATTCACCATGCTGTTAAATTCCTCCCAGGGGGGAAATGTACTCAGCATCTACCCCTTCTCCCAAGGCCCAACAACAAGTCTTATAGACCTAAATGGAGGCATGAACTCACCAGAATTCACTCTGTGGAAACAATACATTTGTTGGGTTTCCTTAGAGAGCATATATGGGGGCGTGTGTGTTCCTCCCTCAGTAGGACAAGCCTGAAAAGCCTTTACCTACAACAGCTGAGGGCTTCCCTAGAGTCACACAGAGCCTCCCCTGAGTCTTCCCAGGCCGATCTACTCTTGTCCCTCCAGAGGCTACCTGCAATCAGGGCAGAGTTGCAGACAGCAGGTGGTAGGAAGTGGCTGGAGACTGAAGTGACCTTACCCACCCCTCCATGAGGAGTGTAAGCAGTTAACAAGCCCAGCTGAGGTCATTATTTTCCAAGGAGATACAGCTGAACTCCTCAAGATGGTGGCTACCTGGGCTAGAGGACAGTACTCAGGACGCAGAACCACACCCAGCTTATGTGGTACCAGACACTGGTCTTTAGTTTTGTGTATGTTAGCCAAACCTCATGCCAACTGAGCTGTATCTGCAACCCCTAAGACCCAATATTTAAAAAAAAAATTAAAAGTAAAAACTCATCGTGCAGAATCTGAATCTCTCTGTTAGGCTCCACAGTGATCAATAGCTCTTTGTGGCTTCAACAGTGGCTAACTGGAGTTGACATGAAAATATCGCCCACTGTCTACAGATTTGACCTGAATCGGAATAATTCAGAACAAAAATGGCATGTGTCTTGAGCTTATGCAGATTTTAGATCATTATTATTCTTTGGCAGCTAGCTGTCTTTATATGCTTTTGAATTAGGATCTTGCTTGGTTGTTCAGGCTGGCCTTGAACTCCTGAGCTTAGGTGACCATCCTGGTTCAACCTTCTGAATGCTGGTATTACAGGTGTGTGCTATCAATAATTTTATATGAGAGATTTGTGCATTCCAAAGATTTTGATGTCTCAAGGAGCATCCTTTGAACTAATTAATCACCCATGTACCCCACCCCAAAACTCCTGTTCCCTCTCCTTTCTGAGTCCCACACCATTTATCAGAGTTTCTCTCCTGGAATTAAGCTCTAATTGTTTACAAGAGTAACTGGTTTGATATTGTACTTTGTAGTAATTGCCTTCCCCTCCCATCTCATTTTCTCATTGCACTAACTGCTCCCTGGAATCACATACACATCGCAATGCTATACTTGAACCTTGCCTCAGGATCCTTTCTGGGAGAACCTATACCAGTATCAAAACTATCTAGTTTCTATGCCAGCATGGATGAAACCTGAACCATGATGAGTGTGGGAAGTTTCCAGAAGAGAAGAAAAGTGCATACAAAGACAGACCAGACTAGAGGCACATACTTCAAAGCTGCCCAAGCCATAGATCCTGCTCATAGTCCTCCCAGATGGCTGCTTTCTTTCAGTCTTCATTGAACCTTGTCAACAACTGGCACTATCAGCCTTTTAACTTTATTTTTGAGATTATAATGTAATTACATCACTTCCCTCTTCCCTTTCCTCCCTCCAAACACCTTCAGCCTTGACTTTTAATTTTAATTTCTGAGATTATAATGTAATTACATCATTTCCCCCTTCCCTTTCCTCCCTCTAAATTCTTTACGCCTTGACTTGCCTGGGTTCGTAGCTAAACTCTACCAGATCCCTAGCCTTCTCCTCCCTTCTCTACCTTTCAGGTCTCATTGTATAGCCCTGGCTGACCCAGAACTTTCTTTGCAGGCTGGGCTGGCGTGGAACTCACAGAGATCAGCTTTCCTTCACCGCCTGAGTGGTGGAATTAAAGATCCTACATGCGTGGTATATGGCATTGTAGTAAGAGTCAGGCTGAGAAAGATGATCGTGTGGCCCCCTGGTGGGGAAATGTGTCAAGTGTGTAGCCTGTCTGGAAAGTAGGATTCAGAAATCAGAAACAGAAGAGGCAGGAGTTTCGGAGTAGACCACAGGGAAACCTGCTGGATAACAACAGCGTTTGCATAGGGAACCCCACGAGACGCAGGCTATAAGCAAGACTTATGATTTCAGGAGCATGGTCTGCGAGGTGGGAAGGGCTTGTGGACGTGCAAGGCCTGGAGAGCACTGCTAATGTGCACACTTCCCAACCACCATGCTCCCACCCTCTGCTGCCGCCTGATGTGCAAAACTCTTTAACTTTTAAAGGAAGTGAACATAAAAAAAGGACTACTTTTGAAAAAGCAGCACAATATTTAGTTTGATAGCTATAACTTGGATTATGTGATCTTTCAAGCTTCTATTTCGATAGTTGATCTTAACCAAAAGGCGAGAAGTGATTCCAGCTTCTATTTCTGACCAACTTGCTTGATTTTTCTATGCTCTTCTTACATAGGATAGAAGTCATTAGTTGGGGCTATATAGTCACACACTACATTAAATACACATTTATCATATACCACTGTTCAGTGATGGTATAGCCATTTTCATTGGTTAAGTATTGTCTACGATGTTTGCACAGCAATGAAACTCCCTTCGTAGACTGGGCTGGCCTCAAACTCACAGAGATCCGCCTGCTTCTGCCTCCCCGACTGCTCAGATTGCAGGCTGAGAAGGCTCCTCTTAACCAGTCTTCTCTTCTCCCTTCACAACCATGAGGGCTTTCTTCCATTCTAATCCACCTCCTGGCCTTTTCTGGCTTGCTTCCCCTTTATCATTTGCAGACTCTTGCCTGTCTGATCTTGTTTTGACAACTGTTTCTGAATATATGTCCAGTGCTGGAACTTCAGAGTCTATGCCTTCATTCTCAATTCTGTATTTAGTGACATGTTGGTAGGTCCTGGTAGGAATATTGCACAATAGAAATCAACTAATACTTTCTCCCCCAAGTGAGCTGCTGGTTGGGCATTTATCAGCATACCTCTCATATAGACTCAATAGAAATGTGTCTCTGCTGGGCATGATGGGACATGCTTTTAATTCCACCACTCAGGAGACAGAGGTAGGCAGATTTCTGTGAGTGAGTTCAAGGCCAGCCTGGTATAAAAAGTGAATCCCAGGACAATCAGGGCCACATAAAAACACTATCTCAAACAAACAAAAGGAATAAAAATAAATAAAAATAAAAAGTGTATGTATGCCACCAAGAGACCTGGTGTGGTGGCTTGAATAAGATTGGCCCCTACAGGCTCATATATTTGTATGCTTTGTTGTCTCCGGGCTGATGAGCTGTCTGGGAAGGATTAGGAGGTGTGGGCTTGTTGAAGTTGGTGTGGCTTTATTGGAAAGAGGTGTGCCACTAAGGGTAGGCTTTCAAGTTCAACTGCCCACACCAGACCCAGGATGTTTGTTTGTCTCTGTTTCTCTGTAAGAGTTGCCTTGGTGTCTCTTCATAGCAATAGAAGACTGACTGAGACACCTGGGTTAAATCCCTAGACTGAGAGAGGGCTGGTGATGGGACTCAGTGGAGCACGTGGTGCTCACTCACTATGCACAGAGTATTGTGTTCACTGAGAAGAAGAAGAAGAAGAAGAAGAAGAAGAAGAAGAAGAAGAAGAAGAAGAGAAGAAGGAAGAAGAAAAGAAAGAAAAAGAAGGAAGAAGAAAGAAGGAGGAGGAGAAGAAAAGACCGAGTTTTTAAAAAGCTGGCTACAGGGGCTCACATCTCTAATCCAGAAACCGGGAGGCCAAGGAGGGGAATCACCTCAGATTTGAGGCCAGCCTGGGTCACAGAGCAAGACCTTGTTTTGAAAAAGCAAAAACCAAACACACAAATTCCTAGACTCCAATTTCCCAAATGTCTACCAGCAACAGAATAAATTAACAATTCATTATAAAGTTGTATATGTCCTCATACAGAAGACCATGACAAGGAAAGTAGTTGACCTACTATGGCTGAATACCACAACTATAACGCTGAATGAAAGAAGCAAGACATAAAAGAACTCATTCTGTAGAATTCTGTTCATACAAAGTAAGAAACAAGAACATAGGAAAGTGAATTTATACTGTAGGAAGACTGAAGAGTGGTTCCCTTGTGGGGTGGTCCCAGGAGAAGGCTGCATGGGTCCTGACACTGTTCTGAGTCCTTATCTGAGTTATTTGGGTATGTTTACTCTGGGGATTATCATGCTTGAATGTGTATGTTTTACTTTTCTGTATTTATGTTATACTTTAGCACAGAGTTTTAAAAGGTGTACTGTATAGGTTGTTTGTAACCGGGAGACATTCTAGGGGGCTCTTGTCCAAGGATGACAACTCTCCTTTCTTA